AGTTTAGTGTCCCTTAAAAAAAGGAGATTTTAAGGTCTAAATTTTTTTACCTATACATATTTATACATTCTACTCAATTAACGTGATGTATTTATTTTCTATTATAAGTTTTATATCATGATCGTTACTGCCACCCATCATAATGTATATCGTGATATGAATTTTTTGCCATATCGCACATTCCTAATGATGACTGGTAGATAATTAGTTATTAGCAGTACTGCATTTTAATTTTAGAAAGTGCAAATCTGCTTATAAATTATAAAAATTAGTAAGACCGCTAAAGCGCAAATGAAATATTTAGGTCCGCAATTATCGGATTTGTGCTTTAGTGGGCTGGTGCCCACCACTGGTTGTGTTGAAACCATAACTCTAAGCTTGGYTGAGGAGAAGCCACAGTATCGTGAAGCACGAAGCACCTTATTGGCAGTTTTCAGCGTTTCCACCAGTTCCCAGAAGCTTATCAGAGCTCTCTTATCGACTCTCTCCATGTAAAGCCTGAAAAGTTCCCTGTAACCTGGATTACAAAGGATGTCGTCAAACTGCAGGATCTGCAGGAAAGAGAGAAAACACACAGTCAAACTATCCACCAACGTGCTTCAATCACAAATCTTTATTTCTCCTCCTGACCTTCTGGCTCTGAGGGTCTTCACCATCCTCTGCTCCTCCTTCTTCATTGTTTTCGTAGTTTGGTCCTCCGAGCAGGCGGATCCGTTTCTCACATTGTTTCTTAGCCACAGTCAGCTGATTGATGTATCGTTTCATATCTCTGGCCCTCAGCAGGTCTGCCTTCATGGCTGCAGACTCTTTACCTTTTCTCTCTGAAACACAGCAAACAGGAACTGTCAGCTCATTCAGCTATACAGATCAGGTCTCTGAACTCGAGCAGATGAAATGATTGACTAGAAGTCAACATGGAGCTTCTGAAGATCACTACATGATTGGGATTAAATATTTATTAATCTGCTGTTTTGTAAGTTTTCCTACTGAACAAGAAAACAGTTTGTAATTTTAGATGTAAGGGAGAAAGGAAAAACCAAACTAAAAATGAATGAAAAACACATTAAATAGGAGTAAAATGATTATTTTCTTATCAGCGAGTTGTTTTGGTTCTTTCAGCTGCTCCCTGCTGCAAGGAGGGAGAGCTAGCTGGCATGAAAGACTGAAATGTTCTACGCTCCATGTCCTTCCTRATGTAAGCTGGGCTCAAACCTGCAGCCTCAGGATAACATCATGACACTAACCACCAAGCCCTCATTTCTTGTCAGTGAGAAACATTTTTGGTCTGATAACACGTTACAACAACAGAAGATAGAGATAGAGATAGCTGAGGAGAGGAATGTCTGGAATTCCCTCAAAGTTTGTTTGTTTTTTTCTGACGCAACTACAAACGGTCAGATGAAATGTTAATGAATGAATGGATGAACAATACAGAATGTGTTTTCAACTGCTGTAGACAGTGATTATCTCACCAATAATAATAATAATGAGTGTTTGACCCTCAGAGTACATTTGTTTCTATATAAAGTTATGTACAGTGGGGGGCACTAGTCCCCTAAAGTGCTAATGTGCTAATTGTAGACCTAAATTTGTCCTTTGTGTTTTAGGGGTTTTACTAATTTCATAAAATGATGTGTGGATTTCTGCTTTCTAAATTTAGAGTAGCGCTAAACGCAAATAATGTTTCACACTTGGAACGTCAGTTTTGTCTAACGTAAAGAGAAAGAACCGTCTAGTCTCACTACGTTTTATAGTCACATGACTCATAACGTCATCATGATTTTCTTGAATGAAGGAGAAAGCTGTCTCTACTGAACACAGTGAAGCTCTGCTGTGAGGAAACAGTGACCCCTCAGTCTGCACTGAGTTCACAGAGCTTTATACTCTGACTCCTGACTCTTCTCAGTGATGGTTTTCACTTAGTACAGACTGTTCCCACAATTCATTGCCTGGCAGGAAGCAAAAAGCTTTCTTCACTGGGCGACAGTTCACCTGCAGTTCTGTTCTGCAGAACCACACTCAGCTGTGCAGTTTGTACCTCCTCTCAGAGGAACACCGCAGCAATGAATATKAAATATTAGTAAAGAAAGAAACACGGAACAATTTAAATTCACGCTCTTATTTTGAAAAGAATGAAGTTCCTGTTCTGTGTCCTGTAGCCTACCCAGAATGCATTGCTTCAGTTTTACGACAGTTTAAAATTACTAATATATCTGCATGTTTTCTTACTGAAGCCCTGCCATAATCATAAGAAAATTACCAAGAAGCAGCAGAACTACCAATCCACAACTCAACTATTTTTTGTTTTGCAATCATGATCTAAAAGTCTGTTTCTACAAATCACCTCCCCATTCTGCACCGATATGTGCCAATCTGTGAAAGAAAATAATCTTACCACTAGGTGGCAGTAAAGTCTTGACATTTTGTCTTGACATTGACGTTTTCCGGTAAACGGAGGTTATGTTGTGCTTTAAATTAGCTTCTGCTGTTTTATTGAGCAAATGTGCTTTTGAACTTGCGGACCTATATAAATTGATGAGCACTTAAGAAATTGTGCAACTAAAATTTAAATTAGCGCTGCCCATCACTGGTTATGTGTGACCATTTTCACTGGATCAGCAGTCGTGTTTTCCTGTAGTCTGTTAAAAACCGATTCACAGAAATAGACGGGTGATTCYCCAGCACCTCCAAATCTGAGTCCATGGTCCTCAGTTGGATATGGGTGGATTTTTCTCTCCAGGTTGGGGGTGAAGTTCTGCCTCAAGTCCTGGTGTTTTGTTCATGAGTGAGGGAAGAATGGAGCGTGGGACTGACAGACAGATGAGTGCAGCTTCTGCTGTGGTGAAGAGGAAGCTGAGCTGTGAGGCAAAGCTCTGTTTACCTGTCGGTCTATGGTCCTACCCTCACCTATGGCCACAAACTTTTAGTGACTGAAAGAATGAGATCACAAATACAAGTGGTCAAAATGAGTGAGTTGAATGTTGAGTGGGGGTATGTTAGCTGTACAGCACATTAAACATTTATTTTAAATGTGTTTAAAAACACCTGACTGGTGGGATTGGATCAGGACAGTTGAGCTGTGGTCTGATCAGAACACAAACATATTGCTCTTCGTTCCAGTGGGGAAATGTGCAGCAGACTGTGATTCAGTACTACTGGTGATTGTTCTGCGTTATAAAGAAACAAAGAACTGACAGCTGAGGAGGATGTTTTTTAGAGACATAATTACAGTGTCTGAAAACTCAGACAGTCTGGATCTCTGACGCAGATCATCACAGTCCTTATTTCTCTGGTTATCTCTAGGGCAGGACTCAAAATGAACAGAAATTATCTTTACAGATCAACTTATCTGTAGACTTCTGGCTCCAAGTCATTCTCTGTGGGTCATTGTGACAAAACCACTGATAATCATGTGACCTCAGTAACATTTCAACCTCAGTACTATTATCTTTGTTTCTATGCTTATTTATATTATTTAGTTTGTGGAAGATTTTACCTTTCTGCTTCTTGAGCTGAGGCAGGCTGCTGATGGTGGTGGCATGAATTATTTCTACCACTATCTGATACCTGCAATAACATGGAGAGAGGAAAGGCTTCAGATTAACAAAAACAATCAGTCAAAGATAAATAAACTACAAAATATCACTGTATTGAATATTTAAAAAATAAACAGTCGTGAAAACATGAGGAACCCCATTAAATAAGACGTGTTCACATAACATCTTATTTTGTTTCTTTCTGGAAAAGAACGTGATTTAATTGCAGTTAAACAACTAAAAATTACATTGTTTTACTCCTGAAACAAAAGATATGAACAAAAATGTCTATTATAATGGATGTAAAAAGTTAGGACACCCTACCCTCTAATAACTAGTGTTGCCCCCTTGGGCTGAAATAACTTCTTGTAGCCATCTACCAATGTCTGACATTGATCTGAGGAAAGTTTGTCCCACTAATTGGATTATGATAACTGGATTCCTGCTGATCGGCGRAGGAGGGTTCCAGATTTATCGACAAGTGAAAGCGACCCTGACAGTGGATCAGGCCTTTGAAGAGCTGTCGGGCGCACTTGAAGGATTAGCACACAGACTCTCAGCTGAGGGAAAATTTTGCAAACTGGATGTGATTCTGACAAGGATCGCAACTCAGGAGCAACCCTTCGGCTTGTATGGACTACATCTGGGTGAGCTTCAATCGGTGAGAGGCAAGGAATGACCCCAAATTCGGTTGATTGGCTTTTTTCGCCACCTCAGAGATTGCAGTAAAGACACTTCAAAAGCAGCAGGAAATTCAAGGTTGCTTTGTTCTAAAAAAAATTGGATTATCTATCTGGCTCCCAGCGGTGCGGCCTTGAGGGCAGTGCTTGTCTTAAACTCCCCAGGATGAAATGTCAACTAAGAGCTGGACTCGCTCCCACCCCACCACCTGTGTTGGACCTGGCCTTGGAACTCAGTTGGCTGAGGAGGAGGAAAATCTCTGAACTCTAGCGAACTGAGTAGAGACAATAACATCATATGACTCTGGACTCTGGATGGGCACAGGGTTGGGCCTAGCACGGACCCCCCCCTGAACCCGCCCCATTTTACCTGCCCTTTATGTGTTATCTGACCTAAAACTGACCTTAGGAAATACTGTACTAGATGAGAAATAAAAAACTTGATTTACAC